GCGAGAGCAGGCTGGCGGACTGCAGAGGACATGGGGGGGGCTCATCCTCCATTTGTATCTGCCCAAGCCACACGTTCTCACTCACAATGATGACCACCCCCACAAAGCCGGTCTGATTACTCATCTGTAACTATGGGTTTAGTCATCGACGGTCATGAGGGCCCAGAAAAAGCCCTGATGATGATGACGATGATGAAGATGACAATCGAATGACTCACGGTCTGGATGCTCCACACAAAGGTGCTTTAACAAATCAGAGAGCAGCAGGTGCCCAAATCTGGGACACGGGAGGCTCGTTATCCCTCACAGGAGATCAGTCACAGCATGAAAAACGCGGCAGCGACAAGAGAAATCATGTCCCATCAGCAAAGAGGCAGAACAAGCAGAAGCGCAGAGAAGGGACATGGTGGGCGGGGGGGGCATTCCAGCGGGCCGGAGCCGGGGAAGCTGGGAATCGGGAGAAATCCACGTCACTGCAGCCAGCGACAAGCAGCGGAGGCTCTTCTCGGAAAAGGCACAATGATGCCAAAGAGTGGCGCAGGAGCCCATGGCCAGGCGCAGCCCCCACCTCCCCGAGGAAAAGGACGCTGCCTCCCTGTATTTTCCATGTTATTATGCATCAGAGCTTCAGGCGTCTGCAGGAATGGACCGGCGAGTGGAAAACAGCTGAATCCCCACCCCCAACGCAGAGCAGTACCAAGGGGGAGACACGTAGACGCATGACTCCCGTCTGAATAAAGCACTTCAGGGAATTTCAGAACAGCCTGCTCCTTTTGAATTACGAGAATCCAGGATGGTACAAATAACCAGCTCTTTTTAAGGCCGTTCAAAGCTGGAAGTTCAGACAGGACGCATCACTACCGGGCAGTGCTGAAAGGCTGTGACACCGGCTTTGAATCTGTGTCTTTGGCAAGTAAAGCATGGCCCACTTCTTCTGAGCTGGAGGTTCCTTGGACCACTGTTCCCCCACATCCAAGATGGCCGGCTGCCTAAGCTCAACTGAATGCCTACTGTCAGGAAATGTGTGAGGGAACAGAGTGAGCCGTGGTACGGCCACCTGGAGAGGGTGCCGCACCTGGCTCTACCGATAGGGGGGCGCGAGAAGATGCTGCAGACCAAAGCTCTATCCTTAATAGCCCGAGTGTCTCGTGTCAGACACTGGAGAGTGTTTGTGCTGCGTCGCTCTACCACAATGAATTATTCAGGGCTCATTACAAAGTCCAGCTGCAGTAAACTAACAAGCCCGTCCACACAGGACCAAGATCTGCGCCCGCTGACGTCCTGGCGCACTTCTAAGGCCAATTCTTGCCACCCTGCCAGAGAGGGATTCAAATCTGGCAACCCTCTGCATTCAGATTTTTCGGTATTTGTTCGTCCCGGGAGGAAGACGTCTTGGGCTACGGCCAATTCTACCAACAAGGGCGTCACGCCGGGGATGAACTCGAACTGGCATCGAGCCGTAAATGATGAAGTGCCAGGATCACAAAGGCCCTGCAGAGGCCGTCCGTCACACTGCCAGCACGGCGACAGCCACTTCCACTCTGCAGGACGCTTTGCCAAAGGCCCGCTTGCCCTGGGGCCTTGCCGGAATCAGCAGAAAGTCCTCAGTGAAGCGGGGGAACCAATAAGTCCTGCGACTGTCAGCGTGACACAAAGGCACAGGCGGGACACAGCGCAGTCCCCCGCTTTGCAGTGCCCCGCTTTGCAGTGCCCCGCTTTGCAGTGCCCCGCTTTGCAGTCCCCCGCTTTGCAGTCCCCCGCTTTGCAGTCCCCCGCTTTGCAGGGCACGTCCCCCGCTCGGCGCCAGGCTTTGTTCATGCCCCATGCCCCAAGGGCTGCAGCTCAAATCACCACGCAAGCGTCTGCCACCCCCCCCCCGGGTGGTGAGTACTTCACCTGACTAATTACCCCTCATCCGCGCTTCAGGGGCAGCCATAGGGGTAGAAATAGATTATCTCCCCCTTCGCTTTTCCATGAGAGGAAGGCACTGTCAGGTTACAGTTATGAGGGTCTGCACTGCAGTGCCTGGGGGCGTCGTGGGTCAACTGCCGAGCAGGAGGGACGCAAACCAAACTCCCCCTGGAATCCGGGAGTGTGGCGGACATAAACGAGTCCTATGCTACATGGCTGAGGACACATCTGCTCCTCAGCATCACCAAAGGAGCCCCCCCAAGCTAAACTGCCCCCCACCCACCACGAACAGACAGAGTGGCTTTTGATAGTGTAGAGAAAGCTACAAGGAGCGATCGCAGCACAAAGGACAGATGAGGGACACCCCGGCTCATAGACCACCGGGTTTTTTCGGGGGGAGTGACAGCAGTTAGTGGAGCATTCCAGGGCCAGGTGGGGGGGCTACTTCGGAACGGGGCCTTCGAATTTCTGTGTTTTAAAACATGGCTCGTCATAAAGATTCATTTCACAAAGGCAACACAATTACATGTGATGGAACACTGATACAGTGCTCGGATTACCGTCTATATTCATTTAATGTCATTTTAATTGTCTGGCAAATCTGCTTAATAGACAATTTCTGTAATAGACAATTAGCATCTCAATTCTTTGTACTCGAACGACCAAATGTTGGGGCAGGGAGGGGGGTTGGCACACTGAGAAAAGCCCGGTCTGACATTCTGCATACCACCATTTAATTACAACAATCTACTTTGGACCCTTCCAAGTCAAACAAGGGAACAAAGAATTAAACTTTAAATTATTGGTACTTGGCCTCTTTTCTCAGAAAGCGAAACTCCCTTCTTGTTTCTTTGGGGCAGAAATACCTCTTGTACACTGTCCCTCATTATGTTTGAAAGACAGGTCCCATCCAAGGTCTCCCTGCCAAATTACATAACGGCGCTGCCCGCCCCTCTGGCTGACCTCTCATCTTGAGGCCAGAAGGTCTCCATGAGGTTCAAGTTGCCCTCTTAAATTGAGAAGGGGGGGGGGGCAGAGAGCACTCAGAGGCCCCATCTGTGCCTGGGAATATGGCAGGCAGCCCCAGCCACCCCAGAATCACCCCGAGGCAGGACCAGGCGTCGTGTAACGGCAGCTCGGCACACGCCAGCAGAGTGCGCTGTAGAGACTGCTTTGGGAGCACTTTGCCTGTGGAAAGGGGCATGATCTCAGCCAAGAACAAGCAGAATATTCAATGGGGCTCAGCAGAGCCCAGCATGTCCAACTCAGATTCTGGCAAATCATGGGTCTCCAAACGGCAGCATGCACAACCAAAATTATAAGAATGCAAAGCCAGCAACATCTAACCTAAATCATAGTTTGGGAGTGACAGGACAGAATGCTGCCCCTAAACAGTAGGGGGCGATCTGGCAGATATTTGGTCCAACAATTCTTTGGCCCTTTCCCCTCCTATCTTGTCCTCTCATCTCACTGTCCCAGCCTCCTCTGTACAACGGATCAGTAGGCAGCAAACCATAACCGCCCCCCTCCCCCCGGATTCACGATGACAACCAAAAACACGCGTCTTTATTCAGCACGACATCAGAAGCAAGTGGAAAAATAAGAGGCTGAGAAGCAGAGCTGCCTCCAAGCCAATCGGCTCCGCCGGCATTTACATGAGGTGATGCGGTGTGACTGTGGGGGGCATTTCTCACGCCAGCGGCACACGGCCGTCGCAAAAAGCCGCAGTCAGCCCCCCCCCAGCGGAGACGCAGCCAGCAAAGGCCAGAAGGCTCCTGCGGGGACTCGCTGTTCCCAGGGAGTCTGAGGAACATGACAGAATGAAATGTTCCTTTAAAAGCTCCGCCGAACATATTACCGGGATTACCGTCAGGCGGGAACATAACCAGGTCACTGGCAGCAGTGACGAGCAGCGGCAGGGTGGTTAAACCTTAGCTGGGTGCCCATCTTCAGGCAGCCATGTAAAATTACCAAAAACATTTCAGTGCAGTTATTAAAAACGTTATGGCTGAAAGAGAGACACCAGGTTTGAGAGAAGAGTCCCCATTGTTAACATGGGGCAGCGACGTCAGCTGCGAGGAGTCAGAGAGCAGGACAGAGACTCTGCTCCTCCAGGAGTCCGGACTTCATTTGCAGCTCAGTCTGCGGCTTCAATAAAACATTAATAAATGAAGCTGGCTGTCTGCTGACCGCATTCCGCTCTGGCCTACATCCGTCTGCGCATCCGGGGCTGCGGGTGTGGTCGCAATAGCAGTGTCACTGGCTTAATAACAGCGTCCGCGGCTTAATGACGGCTCCCTGGAGCCGCTCACCCAGCGGCTCTGCATAATCCAGGGCCAGTGACCTACTCAGTGGGCTGAAAATTAGTTCTGGGGTTTAGCTGATGGGCCAATTACTATATAAAGGGTAAAGTCACATGACTGTCACTGGCCATGGCGACACGGGGCCGTTTTTTTTTACCAAGTTCACCCTCTGGCCAAATCGAGGGCTGGTTCGGGGAGGAGCAGGTCCGTCTCGCTTTGGAGATGCCATGGCAACCGCTGTCTGCCTGCACTTATGGAGCCGGTGAGGAGTCCAAAGATGGCCTCACTCTGAACGATAATAAACTGAATCATTCCACATTTGGCTGAGGGACCGGCTCCCACTAAGTCCAGATGAGGAAGATAAGGAGAGAGGGGTAGTCTAAACAGCGTAGATCAGCAGAAGGATAAGGGTGGTCCTCCTAATGGAGGGTCAAAGGGGAGAAAGCAGGTCTATTTTTCCTCACTGGAATTAAATCTGCTTTTTACCAAGAATCCTCTGCAGCATCTGGATAGTCTGTGAGCCAACGACTGGGGAGGGGGGGGTGAAGTGAGACGAGGTAGCAGGAAAGGCGGAGAAAAGGCGGAAGGAACTGAGGCCCGTTTGAGGCGAGGCCGGGCCCAGAAACTGAGCATATACGCTCCACCGATCAGCCAATCAGACTACGGGTGTGGGGGGTCGTCCATCACACTGCTAGCACGGCGACAGCCACTTCCACTCTGCAGTGGAACGAGGGGCGAGCCCCTCTCCACGCCGCCGCTTAACCACTGTGTCCGTACCGTCTGTGGCACACAAGGGAGAAGGCGGAGCAGCAAACTACGAGGAGGTTAGCCAATGAGGGGAGAGCTGACGGTGTGCCTGCACCATCCGTCTCCGTACCACTTATCTAACAGCTTATCTACAGAGTGGTGGAGGAGGGGCCTGGAGCCCATCCCAGGCAGCAAGGGGCACAGGGCTGGGGGGCCCGGCATGGGCTCCATCAAGGAACATGCACTCACATACTATGGACCAATCACACACCAATTAGCTGAACTGCTTCGGACCGGAGGAGCAAAACGGGAAGGACCCTGCATAGCGCGGGAAGAACAGGCAGGCTGCAGACACACCGAGCGGGGGAGGGATTCCAGCCCCCAACCCTGAGGCATGCCACCCAAAGAAAGAACAGGCGATTTTGTCAGATATCAGACATGGGGCACCGACATCTTCCAGACTGTTAGCCACCGTGATAAGAGGCGAAGCCCACATAAGAGAGACAGACGGCCTCTGGGTCCAAACAGGGCCACAAGGGGTACCTGGTGAAGGTCGTTCCCCAGGAGGAATTCCTGGAAGTAGCCGGGGGCAGCAGAAGAGGCCCGGATAGCCTGCCACAGCTTGTGCTCACAGCCCCCCAGATAGTGGGAGCGCACCCCTGAGGGCAGGTTGTAGTTCCTGAAGACATAGGCCTTCAGTGGGGTCCCTCTGTTCACGATGGTGCTCACTGCTGCCACCTAGTGGGGGAGATCGTGGCCCGAATTAAAATCCACGTCAAAGCTGCCCTTTCAAATGGCCAGAGTGATACAATCTGCCCTGTGTGGTCAAGGAAGTAAAGAATGGAGGCTGGAGACACGGCTGTGGTCTTCCACAGAACATGTAGCCAAAATGCTCATTCTGAAATAAGGAAGTTCCACACAGCTTGAATTAAATGAGTGCAGTTCTACAGGCAGCCACACTGATTAAACATTACAGACAGGCAGTGACATCGGCAGGCTACGCCAGCACAGGACATAATCCTGTGACATTGCTGCACACGTTCCGTAAGCCATAATCACAGCGGTGTCGTGTTTAAAGGGCCATCGACGGGTGTATTACACAGCCTCCCCAGCAGGGCGGCTCACCTTCGGGCACCCCTGCTTCCTCGCCGTCTTGATCATGAGTTCAGAGCCCATTCTCTCTCTGCCATCATTAAAAAAGGAGGAGAGCATGTCACTCGCCGTACGCAAAAGATCAGCCTTGCGTCCATCTACGTGTCACACCCAGACGCCACCCCGATCCTTGCGGTGCTCCCTGGTGGCCCCCTGCCATGCCCGACCTGAGGATGGACTCCCAGACCTCGCTGTCGTAGAAAGCGTGGCTCCAGCTCATCTTCACCGTGCCCACGATGACGTTCTGCTTGAAGACGTCGGAGCCCAGGCGCCGGTACATCTCCTCACACTCATCCAGGGGGATCTGGAAAACACCCAGCATGAAGGCCAAGATGGCCCCTGTGGTGGGACAGGCAAGGGGACAGATAAAATCAGGCATTCAGCAGCCCAAAATAAACGGTCCCACCTCCCTGGAACGCCACGTGGACCCGCTCCCACACTGTCTGAAGCCTTACAGGGTCCCACCTCCCCAGAACGCCACGCGGACCAACTCTTGTACTGCCAGGCCCCCTACCTGTGCTCACTCCACAGATGTAGTCGAACAGCTGGTGGATGCGCTTCCCCGTCAGGCTTTCCAGCTTGTGCAGCGTCTGGAGGGCAACTAACCCCCTGAAAATACCATGTTACCAAGGATGAAGTGCTGCAGGTCAGAGGTCAAAAGGTCTGAGTGCGCAAAGCCCCAAGTGATGCCGGGCAAGCCTTGGTACCTGGTTCCTCCGCCATCAATGGACAGTAAGCGTATGCCGCGGCCCTTCACTGGGTCTGTGTATCCCACGAGGGCCAGAGCCTGTCTCACAGCAGCCTGCAGAATGGGGTCCCCGGCCTGGCGGAGACGCAGAAGGCATGGGACTGCCTTCTCCTGGTCAGGAGGATGAACAATCATGAACACTCACCTGCTCAGGCAACATGAACTGAGAACATGGTAAAACACCAGCAAATGGCATTTACAGGAAGTGCAATAAACTCTATCCCTTAAAAACTTCCAAATATTACATTTGGATCAGAAAAACATCTGGCTGTGCAAAGAGGAACCGAAAGAAAGACATTTTCACAGGCAGTAGAAAAGCAGGGCAGCTTTTAAAGAGAAGTTCAGTCACACAGCACACTGGAGGGTGGGGCTGGAGAGCGGCGGCCTCAGACCCACCTTGACGGCCACGCCCTTTGTCTCCGGGAACTCCAGCAGGTGACAGCTGAGCTCCTCCACCCTACGGATGTAGAGCTTGACATCCGAAGCTCTTTGCAGGGCCTGTACCAAGGCCCTGGTTCGGTTGTCCACACTCACCCGGGCTATGATCTAGGGCCGGCCAATCAACAACAAATGCATGAAACGCCATCTGTTATGGACGACAGAAGACATGAGACACGCAGAAATCCTGGATGTTGTAACGTGTGGGTCAGAATTGCTGTCCTTGTAAGTGCTGCATTACCAAGACAGCCATCACACCCCCTAAACGGCTACCTCCACAGCACAGACAGTCCACCCTATATATCTGTTTAGTGGCACAGGGAAAACGAGACGTAGAGTCCTGTAGGGACGACGGAAACACAGCATGCAGCTGCCCTAGCCTGCTGCACTGACATATCTGCTTGTCACATAGGGGGAATGAGCTCTGCTCAGCTTACTAGCATATACCTCAACAGCATGGATATCCTTCCACCATATATATAGAAACCAACCTCACAGATCGAGCCAGGGGGCGCTGTTGAGCAAACTACGGCGTAGATGCGAGCAGCTGAGCTTCACGCAACAAAACATTAATACAACCAATACGACTTTTTTATGGGGCACATGCTTTGCTTTTAGCGGATTGCGTTTTCTTTATTTTGAATGCAAAATTTGACCAAAAATTTGGAGCACGACTAAAATAGCAGTGAGGCCAAGTAAACATGGGCCAAGTCGAGTGACGCTGGCCTGGCAGAAAAGGGGATGTCACCCTCTGTTAAACTCAGACCTCTTTAGAGAAGAGTTACTAGCCTTGCTGTGAAATTATGGAAGATATTAGGGCAGGAGGAGTGGAGCCACCGGGGGCCTGTACAACGAAGCGGGGTTACTGGCTTATCGGGGTAACTTAAGTTCCAGCAGGAGGTCCAGCCAGCTGCTGTACCAGCGCCCTCCCAGAGCTGCAGGGCAGAGAGACACACGCCGCCTCTCAGAGGTCAGCACAGGTGCTTCTATCTATTACTGCTTTACAAAGGCCCAGTGAATCATGTGAACTAGATATGCTGTTTTATGGGCTTGGGAAGGTCGGTTGAAGGTTTACTTGGCACTGACCTCTATTCTCTAAGAATGGATTTAGCCTTAAGTTCATAAAGGCTTACAGTTAAGGGCAAGTGAGCAAGGGGACTGAGGTCTTTGTTTGTTTTAGGATGGATTTATTAGCTTTGCTTTAAGTTTTTGCTTTTAGTTTTTTTGGTGCGGTTCAGTGATCATTTATTGTCTTCCAAGTAATTTGCTCCTTTTAAACATCCATCCATGTACTTTATCAATGGCAGAGACCACAGTTAGTGATTCATCTTTACGCTGCATCCGTTTGATAAACTGGAGCTTTAAAGGGATACAGCATCCAGCTAAACGGGGCTTTTTTACACATCCTCAAGCACTGAGGGCAGATATTATATTTCTTCAAGAGACACACCTTTGCGAAATGAATATAATAAATTAAAAAGGTTGGGTTGATCAGATAGATCATTCCATTTATGGAGATCGGAGGTGATTTCAGATGCATATTGGATCCCACTTTGAGTAAATCTAACCCCAAACGTGGCAGCAAGGGGTGAAGCTCTGGAGGAACAGGACTTACAGAGCTCACGGCCCCTGGAGACATTCTAACCCCATTTACAACAACAGACGTGCTCAGTTTTCCATTTGCACATGTACAGGAACATTGGAATGCTTCTCTTCGCCGACCCCATCTGGCTCTCCATAACTTGGGTGGGTCACAGCGCAGGGTCAGCCAACATGTGGCGCCCCAGGAGTGGGGGGTTAAGGGCCTTGCCCAAGGGGCCACGGACACGTGGCTGTTCTGCGGAGACCGGGGTGGAGACCAGGCTGAGCCCCTCTCCATGTGCCATTAACTCAATTACAGTCATCTACTTAATCGCCTGCTCATCACTCATATTCTAGGACTGATTTTTATATAATCAGCCATAAAGCAATTTCTTATGTTACCAACTGCCAATAGCACACTAATAATAACTTCTGACCACTGTCCTGTGCAGTTAGACAGGACATTCCCAAGCAGCACTCAATCACAACGGATTTGGCCGCCTGCACCTGTTATTAGCTCATGAATCATTTATTAAACAGATATCAAGATCAAACAGATACCTGCTTAGCAATCAATAGCATCCCTGGAAAGTCAAATTCCACTATATGGGAGTCACTCAAGCTGTATCTCAGAGGGCAGCTTATTTCCTTGGCTACCCCGCGCTGCATCCGCCCTCCCTCACCTCCGCCCTCCCTCACCTCCGCCCTCCCTCACCTCCGCCCTCCCTCACCTCCGCCCTCCCTCACCTTCTCCCTCTGCAGCAGCAGCTGCTTGGCCTTATCGTCGGCTGCCTTCTGCCCCTCGTCCTCGGTGACTTCCTGCTGCTCTGAGGCAGCATCTTCAGCTGCGGGTGGCTTGTCCTTCTCCCCCATCATCACTTTGGGCTCTGAGCGGAGTCTGGGGACCAGCGCAGCAAAGTAGCTCCCCAGAAGAGCCTGCACGCTGGGCACAGGGTATGAAAGGTACTGCCCTATGCCCCGCCTGAGTGATGCACTGGACTCCAGTGTCAGCGGGGGTGCAGCAGGAAGAGGTGAAGAAGAAGTGGGGGCCAACTTCGAAGTGCGACTGTCAGACACAGGCACAAGAGCAGGAATGGGGCACGCGTCGGTCACATGTGACCTGCTGGGGTCAGAGTTACCCCGGCTGGCCTGTCCGTCCTGCACTGCAGCACCACTCCCAAAATACGCGTTGACGTGGCTGGCTAGAGAGTCGTACGTCTCATCCAGGTTGGCGCTGAAGTAGTTTGCTTGCGATGGCTGTACGCCCTGCTGGGCTGCCCGGTCCGAGTCAGTCTGATCTTTTGCACCCTTCCGGGTGTCACTTTTGCTCTCCGGCTGCTTGTGTATGGCCTCCGGCTTTAATGGGACTCCCTTCCCGGCCAAGGCAATCCCGGGTTTGAGGCGACCTATCTTCGAGAGGAGTTTGGCGGGTGTCCCAGTCACAGCTTTGGATACAGAGTCCAGGGCGCTTCGGACACGTGACATGCGCTGCCGCAGGCTGGTCAAGCCACGTGCTGCCGACGAAGTCAATCTAGAGATGGGGCCCCTGAGGCAGAGCCTGAGGCCGGGCAGCCTACCGCTGGAGGACCATCCATGGATGCCCTCAGCTCTTCGACTCGGAGACGGTGACCAGCGGCAGTGAGTAGATTTACCACTGAAGGGCCTCTTTCCGTGGGGCCTCACCGAGATGCTGTGGAGAGCAGGAAACTGCACTGACACTGGGCCTGCATTAGCGGCCCTGCTCACGGCAAACACAGACACAGACACAAGCCATCGGACAGTCATTCCTTTGGGTCGCAAAGCTGGCTCTTACGTGGTCAATATCCCCTGCAGGAGGAACCCAGTTGTCAGGTCTCCTAGAAGGTCATCTGAGAGGAAGAGAACATGGAATAACGGAGGGTAACACACATATTAAAATGCATTTAAATGAACCATCTCACAATAGAAATACCTAATAACAGAAATATGAGATGCCATTTCCACCTTAAGCAAAACTAGCAGATAATTCCTACACTATAAAAATGTTTACATCAAGTTTTCCCAATCTGATCACAATCCCATTTCCAGCAGGCTAGTCTAAATCATGTCTGTATTGTACCTATAAGTGCCCTAAAGTAAACTAATACCAGTCAAATCCACATTGAAACTAAATTTGTCACCGGCAGCTATTTAAAGAAAGCAGATGCATCCTGACGTGCCACAGCTGGTAGTGGGGACCTCGTCTTCATATTAAAATGAAAGGCAGACAACGTGGACGTTCAATAAACGTGTCAATACAGTAAGAACAGTCAATAGATTGAAATGCGTGTAATACGAAAACGTGTTAACATTCGTTTTCTGTTTGTGGCATTACTTTATCGTGAACACATCATTATTATAGGAGCACGAACACTCACTTTACTCGGAAATCCTCTTTCATGCCAGCAGTAGTTAGGAGATCGTAGTTAGCAGTAGTTAGGAGATCGTAGTTAGCAGTAGTTAGGAGATCGTAGTTAGCAGTAGTTAGGAGACTTTGCTTTAAAGTGCTTAGTTAGCCTGCAACAAACACAAACGCGCCCCGTCCCCCCAGAAGGAGTATCTCGGCTCCCGTAGGACCCCTGCTGGGCCTGTGACGCGGCGTACACCAATTGGTGCGCCGGGCTCATTCGCGTTTGACAAGATAAACAAATCAGCTAGCACTTTGGCTAACCGTGCTACAATCACCGTGTGAAAGAGAATAAAATTTAGCAGGTATTCGTAGTCTCCATGATATGACAGCTGGCTAAGGCTCTAGCAGAAATCCAAATACAGCTCCTAATTTCATCCTAAAATCTTTATTTTAACTTTATTTGTAGCGGGGGTGGACGCTGTGGCTAGCCTATTAGCCATCACACCAGCACAGGCGAAGTTTCCATTAGCTGGCTAAAGATCTACTAGCGAACTGGACTACTTCCTTTGTTTTTCTCCAGGCACTCGGATAACGATATGATGGATAGAGAAATTGGACATACCTTTACCAGAATTATTCCTCCGGCCTCATATACATTCTAGTTACTATTGCGCTTCCCCAGTGAGAAGAATGCTTAACTTCTCGTCTGGAAGCTTTGACTTGGCTGCTGGGTCTGGAGGGAGGGGGAATACCCGGTAATGTTATTTAATACAGCTCAATGATTGGTTGACTTCTACGCGCCGCTCAAGATGCCAACAGGCGATTGGATGAAAAGGACATGCCACCGCTGCGTATCAGAATAAGAACAGGGTGTGGTGTTCGCAGAAAAAAAAAGTTTGACAGATGTCAACAAATAGCTCTTCGGTAACAATCAAATATTAAATTCATTATCATTCAGTCACTCACACCATCTAACCAAACAAACACTATAACATGCTGGCAAAACATCAGAGATTGCAACATTTACATTAAAGATTTGTTAGACTTTTTTTCAAGAACACTAATTTTAAAGCTGTTCAGGAAATACAATTGTAATATATCTCCTTCCGGATCCTAACTAGAATAAGATGTTATGATCTTTAAAATAAAATGTTTAATTGCTTAAAGCAAATTGATTGCTAAGTAAAGTTTACATTACATGAGAAGAAGTCGGTCCATATAATAGTTAGAAAACATAGGTGCAACCGCAATACCTAATAAAATATATTAAATTCTAATATACAAAAATATACGAAATTCTGGTTTCCATGACAAATTATCCACCTTGGGCCCCCTCTGTTCATTCTGCTGAATATCCCGATTAAAAAGAACTATGTAATGGTTTCCAACACTAGATGGCAACATACACTTTGAACACAAAAAGATTTATTACAATTGCAATATAAATCGGAAATTTTGAGGTTACGTCTTCACTGTAATCAGTGCCCGCTCCTTACATCCTCTTCCTTCATTTGAGTTTGTCACGATACCAAAATTTCCAACTTCGATAAGAGAAGCATTGAAATTTAATATCATTTTCGATACTCAACACAATACAGTGACTCAATTAAAATGACACTGCAAATGCAACTTCACTTGCAGTAAAAAAATGACAACCTTTTGGTTGTAAACCATCGTATTTCATACTCAGTCAAAGCATAATAATACCTAACACACTGTAACTATGTTGCTGGTGCTGCAGTGCATGCCATTTTTATTTACTATGCTTGTCCATTAATGTGTCAGTGCATGTTCTGACCCCCCTTGTTCTCTGTTTTCCTTCTCACATGTCCGGATGGTGCCTGGGGTGGGCACCATCTGAGGCGGAATGCTGGTTTAGTCTCATGGAGGGGTGACATCGTGGATGTAACTCACGAACTGAAACACTGTGAGTGTAGACTTCAATCCCCTACCCTACACAGGCCGGCATTGGGGAACTCATTGATGGACTTTGGCTTGACCTTACTCACAGCTTACACCTTGTTTTTAGCAAGCAAGTCCACTCTTTCTGTGGGGCGGGGGGGGCAACCAGTTCACCTTGGATCCCCAGAGGTTTTGTTTCTTTGTTTTGTTCTTGATTCCTCTTCTCCATTGTCATCTAGTTTTCTTTGTCTGTCATTTTTTGGTCTTTCCTTTTCCTTATTGTGTACAAATGATGTAGGAATGCATAACACCCATGTAAAGCGCCTTGGGGCGACTGTGTTGAGAAAGGCTCTATATAAAAATAAATTGAATTGAATAATATGATGGCAACTATTGAGCTACCTTCCCTCGAAGCCACCAGCCAAGGTACACCATACCGACAGCCGCAGTCACCAGCCAAGGTACACCATACCGACAGCCACAGTCACCAGCCCATTTTTCATTCAGATGGGTGGGCTCATGTTTCACCTTGTAACGAATTCTGAAAAAAATCACAAAACAACTGATAGAATGAAATTTTTGGTGATAGTTACTACATTTATTATTACATTTATTAGACATTTTATAACCACTTTAACCAATTTC